CTGCCTGTACATCTATACCATACCCTTTATTATACCCCTTATTAATAAACAAGTTGCCCCAAACCTTGTTGCCCTGAGTTCTATGTGTGGCTCTACCAAAATAATCAGATCAGGGCAGCAGGACAACCTATCACTTTCTTTTTTGTTTGTTTGTTTGTTTGTTTGTTTTGAGACAGGATCTTATTATATAGCCCTGGCTGTTCTGAAACTCACTCTGTAGACAAGCTGGCCTCCAAGTCACAGAGATCCACCTGCCTCTGCCTCCCAAGAATCCTACCACTTTCAACAGGTATCTGAAGGGAGACAGTCAAGTGGACAAACCCCTAAACCTGTGAGATCTATTGCTACCTCCACCCTGCCAGCCAGTTCTGCTAGAGAACTCCTTGGTATGGGTAAATAAGCCTCGTGTATCTGGTGTCAAAAGTGGGTACAGAGTTGGGTGAGAGTGAGAGGAAGTGCTTTCTCTGAAGCCTCTGTCCACCTAAGGGCAGGATGCAGCACACGACAGTCAAGTGCTGGGAATCCGTCTCCAGCCCTATCAACAGGGGATGACGGGGCCTGCACCACAGGGCAGGATGAAGATGTAGTAGATGGCCCGAGCTCTGTTCATCTACTTTCCCTAAGACCCATGTAAAATCCAACAAAGATGCCTCCATTTTAAATGTCAAATTTAAAAAATTAAAAGCAAGTACTCTCTTCTGCAGTTGCCTATACCCATCCTCCCTCTCCGGAGGCTATCTTATCTTATCTACCTCTCCAGCTGCACCTAGCTCACAGTTGTGTACCTGCCTTTCTCCTAATCCAGCCATGGACAGTTTATTTCCCTCCAGGGAGGAAAGGGAATGATCTTTGTCCCACATCAGGGCTCCACCAACAAGTTTCAGCTGACCAGAAGGAGCAAATCTACAGAGGCAGAAAGATTAATGGCTGCCTGCTTAAGCTGGATGTGGTGCTAAAACAAATAGATTGCTGGGTTGGAGCCCATCAAGGGTTGCAGAGAGTGATCCTGTCTTTAAAAAAAAAAAAAAAGCCGGCCAGGCAGTTGCACACCTTTAATCCCAGCACTCAGGAGGCAGAGGCAGGCTGATCTCTGAGTCAGCCTGGTCTACAGAGTGAGTTCCAGGACAGCCAGAGCCACACACAGAAACCCTATCTAGCAAAACAAAACAAACAGCTGACTAGATGGCTCAGTGAGTAACACATGGAGAAATGACTCCACAAAGCTGTTCTCTGACCTCCATTTGTGATCCTCAAAACACAACACCACCTCTTGACAGTAACATTAAATTTTATGATTTATGTGTGTTGTTTTGCCTGCATGCATGTATGTGTACCACAAGTGTGCCTATTTCCCACAAAGCCAGAGGGAACATTAGATTCCCCTGGAACTGGAGCTACAGACCATTGTGAGCCACCATGTGGGTGCTGGGAATTGAACCCAAGACCCTTGGAAAAGTGCTCTTTACTGCTGAGCCATCTCTCTAGCCCCTAATAATAAATTTTAAAATTAAAAAAAAAAAAAAGATGTCATTCCTCCCCATCCCCAAATAAATAAAAAAGCGGGGCAGAGGCAGGGGCAAGGGGAACGATGTTCAGTGATTGTTAATGAGTATGGTTTCCTTCTGGAATGAAGAAAACGTTCTAAAATTGACAAACTGACTAGTGACAGTTGTGTACGTCTTTTTTGTTCTTTTGGCTTTTTTTTTTTTTTTTCAAGACAGGGTTTCTCTGTGTAGCTTTGTGCCTTTCCTGGAACTCACTTTGGAGATCAGGCTGGCCTCGAACTCACAGAGATCCGCCTGCCTCTGCCTCCTGAGTGCTGGGATTTAAGGCGTGAGCCATCACAGCCCGGCGACAGTTGTGTACTTCTGTAGATACACTAAGAACCACATGGAATGATTCACTTTTTTTGTTTGTTTTTGGAGACAGGGTTTCTCTGTGTAGCCTTGGCTGTTTTGAAACTTACTCTGTAGACCAGGCTGGCCTCTGCCTTGGGGATTAAAAGCATGCGCCACCACGACCAGCTGGTATGATCTACTTTAATTGGATAAACTGCATAATCTGTGCCTGGACACCTCAGTCAAGCTGAGGTGAACCTCCTTTGGTACACATACAGTAGGGAATCTATGACCTTGTCTGCTGGAGGCTGTTCTCCTTCCCGGGAGTTGACCTTTTATTTCTGCTGTATATATTGTTCTTTGGTTTGGAGAATGAGAAACTTCTCCACCCCTGACCTCCATAGTTGAAATCTTTAGTATTTTAATTATTTTCATTCATGTATACAATGTACTTCAATGCCATTCACTCCCCCATTATCTTCTCTTGGTCCCTAGCAACTTTTTTCCAATAAGCTTTGGATAGGTATCTTGCTGTTTGTGGTTATGAATAAAAAATTTGAGGCCAGCCTGGGCTTTATGAAACTCTATCTCAAATTTAAAAATATAGATATATATTTTTTTTCAATAGAGAGTTTGGGGTTTTTGTCTTTTTCTTTTTTGGGTTTACAGAAATGCACCATTCGACTCAACAAAATCGACAGAAGGATTTTCTAGTTGACCCTTAGATTCAAGCTGAGCAGATTTTCCTGATTAAGTGTCAGAATGAATTTATTCTTGGGTACAAAAAGCAGTTTGCTCTCCACAAGCTCCTATGTGGAGATGGCTAATTTGGAAATATTAAAGATTTAAATGAAGAGACATTTACCCATAAAATCCACAAGAGCATGCTATCACCTACAAATAAGAGTGACAGAGTCTTGGTAAGAATAGGGTTGATGGCGCAGACTCTGTGGGTTCCCAGAAGGGGTCCTCTCCTCTCAACCTTCCAAGTCCTGTGCTGGACTAATGGGGCACCACCACACTGTGGCCCCACACTCTTAAAAGTCCTATACCCGAAACTGGAAACTATAATGAAGAGTAGGTCTGAATGAGCCAAGCTGTGGAGGCACACGCCTTTAATCCCAGCACTTACCTCACTCGAGAGGCAGAGGCAGGCGGATCTCTGTGAGTTCCAGGCCAGCCGGGTCTACAGAGCGAGTTTCAGGATAGCCAATGCCTCCTAACAGCTCAGGAGCATGACTCTGTTTCGAGTACTCAGAGTAAAGAACTTCAACCCTGGGATAAAAGTCTTAGGGCAAACACCCTCTGTATCCAGGTGGACTGTAATGCGTCAACACCAGACCTTGTCTGGGGGTTAAGGTGAGAAAAGCACTTGCTAGGCAGCATCTCCCAGGTCAGTTATCTCTTCCCCTCATCACACCTTGGGGCAGAAGGTCAAAGGACATCTCTGGTTGGAGGGCTGAAGTTGCCAGGCCTCTCACTACTTCAGTTCCCCAAGACAGCATCCGAATACCTCACCTCATAGTCTTTCCTTGGAAGGATCTCATCCTCCTCTTCCTGTGTTTCCCCGAGGATGGTCTGGAAAAAGAGATTCACATAATGGAGACCTTTTTAGGTTAAGGGTGGAAGGAAGTTTTATTAAAATCTAAATCAGCTGGAGCCATCATCAAAGAGGAACAGAATTTCAAAAACACATTTAGGATGGGTGTTTAGTCACTAGCCGAAATCTACATTTCTATTGATGGACACATTCTCCCATCATAATGCTCACCCTCAGGACATGTGAAACATGTCTGATGGCAGCTTAGGGTGGAGAAAATTCGGGTTCCATTTGACAACAGACCGAATATGAAATCAGAGGGAACGTATCAACTCTGAGAACACAACTCAAGTTTTCCCAGGTTGCTTTGCAGGAGAAAGCTAGATCATCAATGACCCAGAAAAAGTAAAGGATAGAATAAGAAAAGGCTGGAGAAACTAAACCAACTGCATGCGCATCAAGTCCTGCCAAAGGGTTCATTCTGAAAATGCTTGCTCCATTCAAAACTCCTTTCCGATGGACATAAAAGAAAACACGGACGGCATTAACTCAAGCCGGCCGAGATCTCCCCTTAGACTCCAGAGAAAGGTTATGAGAAAAGAACTCTGGCTTGAGCACGCGAAGACGGAGGGATGCTTGCAAAGCTCGGGCAGCGGTCCCCGGGCCCCACCCGCAGCCACCTGCCGGCGCAGCTCGGCTCGGCCCCACCCCCGGCAACGCCTCTTGTCATCCCTTAGCAACTGCCCCCTCCCCAGCCTGGCCGCCGCTCACCAGCTCCTCGGGCGTGCGGCTCTCGCGTTCACCGCAGCAGCAGCACCACCTGCAGCAGCAGCACACAGACCCCCTGCACCCCGCCATCTTCCTCCTTTCCTGCCACTCCGGACCCCCTAGGCCAACCCCCCTCCCACCCAGGATCTGCGCCTCACGTGACTGGCCCCGGGAGGGTCACGTGGCCCTCTCGAGCTTCGGGACGGGAGACAGGGAGTGGCTGCAGACGGGTGGGGCGAGAGCTCGCGTCACATGACGCAGTCCTGGACCGGCTTCCCAAGAGACCTCCGGGCGCGGCCATGTTGGGGGCGGGACTTCCTGTCATCGTCTTGATGACTTCCGCCTGTCCCTTGCCCTGTTTCCCTTGGTAACCGGCAGCTGCGCCCCGCCCCCACCGCCTGTGCTAGGGAGATGGCGCCGCAACCCCCAAGGCTCTGAGAGGACGGTGAGTGGCTCAGAGGCCTGGGACGCCGCGGAGGAATTCTCCGTGTGGCGGAAGTGTCAGTTCGCCACCCACTGATGGCGGGGCTTCTTTGTGGGCCGGCAGCCGGGGCTTGGCCCGCCCTGCCCTCCACTCCTGAAGGCTCCGGTCGCTCCTCCAGCCTAAGCCCCCAGTGGCTGTCACCCCAGCCTCCCTGCCTGCTCGAAGGTATCCCAGGGTTAAAGGAGTCCTGGATCTGGGTGATGATCCAGCCTCCGGAGCCATCTGGGATCCGCATCCCCGTCCAGGCCTGTGACCCACTGACCAGGTGACCCGATTCCCATCCCTCAGGCCACCAGCACCAGGTGGTTGCCAGCCACAGTGTCCAGTCTGCCTGTTTAGTTTTGTTTTGTTTTGTTTTTTTCGAGAACGGGTTTCTCTGTGTAGCCCTGGCTGTCCTGGAATTCTCTGTACACCAGGCCTCAAACTCAGAGATCCGCTTGCCTCTGCCTCCCGAGAGCTGGGATTAAATGTGTGCACCCCCTTGCCTGGCTGCCAGTTTCTTAAAACCTGCCTTCCTGGCAGGATCTGGAAAGGAGTGGTGGACCACTGGCTTTGTCGCCCAGGTGCCCACGGCGCCCTACTGGGCACATATGTCCATTGCAACGGTTTTGGGAATGGTAGGGCTCAGGGTTTGGCACAAGCCATCTGGAGGTGACAGAGGGGCGTTTTGAGACGAGTGTGGAGTCATTTGCCATTAGGGCTCAGTGAGTAACTGGCTGTTACTCTGTCAGGCACTGGGGATGCCGCGAACAGGATCCCTGGTCCTGGTCTCAGGCAGGGGACGACAGCCGAGGGGTAAATAAACCTGTTAGCTCACAGTCTCTACCGTGTATGTTGTGGGGGCTCAACTAATAACGGATAGTTGGGGGCGTTGGTTGAAATAGGGCACGTATTAGAAATGCTTAAATCTTGGCGCAGTTTGCTGCAGGTGAGTCAGCTCTGCAGGATTTCTTCAGCGGTGAGAATGAGGCATCTGCCTTGGATATAGGAGGGACTTGTCTGACATGCAAGGTTGGCTTCTTTCTCCCTCTCCATGAGAACCTGGCGGCTTTAGGTCAGAACAAAACCGGCATTAATCAATAGGGGGATAGCATTGGCACTAAGTAGGGGCTGAGTTTTTCGTCTGTATTCTCGAGGCTAAGACCCAAAATGGTACAGTGGCTTAGAGGTGGAAGTTTCTGGAAAGGAATGAACCTGACCTGGCCGTTCCTCTGTCGCTCCGCGTCACCACACAGATAGCCACTACTGTGTGTTTGCCCATTACTGTGCGGTAGTCATGTTTGTTTTGTTCTCAGGTATCTGTCATTTCCTGGCCAGACTGCAGGATGGCTCTATGCCCTGTTAGCCAGGCTGTGATTAGTGTGACCAGGACTGCGTATGCGGTGGCACTGTGGGCACCGATTCCTTTGACTTCACTGGTGTGTCCAGGGCAGGCACATATGGGACAGCCTTTGTCCGGAGGTGGCCATAAATCCCTACCCTTAGTGATTTCCATCTGCCTGCTTTTGCAAGCCCGCTCCAGTCAAGCTCTAGCTCACAACACAACAGTCTTTTTGGAGTACAGTGAATCGAGAAATTAGGCAGCCCAGCCTTGCTGCACACAACCTATAACGTGTTCCAGGCGGGCCAGCGGCCGTGAGCTCTATCTCCACCACCCCCTCAGCTCCTGCCTGCCCACACTTCGCCCCTCCCCCCGCTCTTCATCTGGCTTCTTTGACTTACGCCGGAGCCTTCTCTCCGGCCTGGAAACCTTACTCCCGCCCCTTTTGCGTGGCCCCAGCTTCAGCTCAGGGCTCTTTGTCACAGCTCCGCCCACTTGAGCACACCCTCCAGGAAAGGTTCCCTGTTCCTTCCCCACTCACCCTGGGTCTAAGCTGACTGAGATGCACCATCGGGGAGCCAAGGTCCTCCCAGCTGAGCACTGTTACCCATCCCTGGGAACATGGGCCTCAGAAGCTGGCTGTGGGAGGCTTTCTGTGCCACGCTCTATCAGGTAGCTGTCACCAAGGATTCATGAGCTGAAGGATCCCTGAGTGGCCCCGTGCCTCGAGGGAGGTCATCATACAAAGAGCCAGACCCGAGCAGGGGGGCGAGGCGCATGGAGCCTCTGGGTAGGAGCTGTGCGCGCCTCCCCCGGGGTCGGCTGCCTTCCTAAGCAGAGCAGTGTCGGCCACTGGAGCCGCCTCCTCCAGTGTTGGGTGTGCATGGGGTTTGGCGGCCATCCCTCTGATGCCCCCGGCCCCCACCCTGTACGGCAGGAACCCAGCCATGGTGAACGAGGGCAGCAGCAGTGGAAGCGAGGGCTCGAAGGACAGTTCGAGATGTTCCACCCCCAGCCTGGACCCAGAGCGGCACGAGAGACTCCGGGAGAAGATGAGGCGCAGAATGGACTCTGGGGACAAGTGGTTCTCCCTGGAGTTCTTCCCTCCTCGGACTGCCGAGGGAGCCGTTAACCTCATCTCAAGGTGAGTAGCGAGGTTAAGTAATGGGGGTCAGCGGAGGGGAACACGAGCTGCCCTTTAACCCGGCAGGAAAAGGCGTTGGAGAGAGGAGGCAGGAAGGAGCAGAAACGAGACAGGGAGTTTGGTCCGCAGCTTACAACTTCTTGTCTGCAAAAGTCCCTCTGAAGCAGCATTAGATATGTTTGGACGCACGCCTCAGTAGGCCAAAAATGTTCCTTCTCAGGCTGCATTCTTTGGCAGAACTTGGGGTTGGCTCATGAGGAGCTTAGGAAGTCAACAAATAGCAACTTAGGGAATGTGTTGAGCTAGCTGGACACTGGGAGTGTGCGGTTTCCAAATCAGGAAACACACTCTTGGTGATAGCATTTTCTGAATTCCAGTTCCTTTTCTTCAAGTCGGAGAGTGTTTTGCTATATCCCCGTGCTTTGTCCCAGATCACGAAGAAGAAAGAAAGGAAAGTCAGGCATAGTG